TTTAAAAGATAAAGTTATTGAACTTATTACTCAACAACTTATAGATTTATATTATTTTTTTTTTTTTTTTTTTTTGTTAAATAATACTGTATATAAATATAAAAACGGAGAAAAAAAATGCATATATATAATATTTACACTATACACAAATTAATTTCTATAAAAATTTTTTTCATTTTTTTTCAGAATAAAATGCATTTCGGGAAAAATGCGATTAAAAAATGTAATAAGTTTTATAATAATCAAATAGAATATTAAACCTTGATCCGTTTGATAAATAAAATAAATATCCCAGTAAAATAAATAAAAGACCGAAGCATATAGCCTTGGAGATTTTTTCTACCTATTTTTCGAGAAGAATTGGGGGAAGGTTAAGGTTTATTTGAAAGCAAGGCATTTAGAAATATTAAGAAGCCATGATTAAAACCTTCAAATCACCTTGACCAATCAATATTATGCCATTACCATACTATTCCTTTGTCTAACACTTCTTCGTTTTTGCACAGTAATCCAACCATCGTTTTCATTTCCCTCATTCTTCTTTGGTCGTGGGGTTACACCATTTTTATTAATTTCAGGAACTAAATTCTTTTGGTCTTGTATATTTTCTTGCGGTACGACAGCAACACCATTAGTATGAGATGATTCAATTTTACTGTTACGTTTTGAAGGTGGAGCCTCTAAAACGGTAGTAAGTTTTGAAGAGGATGGTTCAATGCTTCGTTCAGATATTGGACCATTAGAATTATTCTTTAATACATTTTCAGCGGGTATTACATTAACAATTGGTGATGATGAATTTTGTTTTTTAGTCATTGATTCTGAAAGTTCATGTGCTGCAAGTTCGCGTGCTTTTCGTTCAGATTCTGTCAACTTGCTATTTTCAGTTCGTAGCCGTTCATTTTCTTTAATTAATTTCTCAGCATGTCGTGCTATAAATATAAAGAATGTATTGTATATAGTTAATAACACAATGAGTATATATATTAAATATAAGAATAATATGAGAAATAATAACCTTTTTGCTCAAGATGTTGTCGATTTTTAGCATCTTGTTGTTCTAGAGGAAATAGGAAACATTTACAATTTTTAGATGAATTATAATTATCAAAGAGTTATATAACTTAAAAAAAATTAATATACATACCTTTAGTAGCTAAATTATCAATTTGGTTCTTGAGAGTTTCATTTTGGCTCTTGAGACTTTCATTTTGACTCTTTAACCATTTAATGGCTTTATTTTCAGCCTTTAAGTTTGAAAGTTCAGCTCGAAGCTCTTCAACAGATGAAA